GGACACCACTGCAAACAGACTGCTTCCATCCTCGTGACTTCCGCCCTTAAGATATTTGTATGTGTTGATAAGGTCCCCTCTCAGTCTTCTCTTCTTCAGGCTGAACAAGCCCAACTCTCTCAGCCTTTCCTCATAGGGGAGATGCTCCGGTCCCTTTATCATCCTAGTTGCTCTCCTCTGGACTCTTTCTAGGAGTTCCTCATCTTTCTTGAACTGGGGACGCATTTGAGATGGCCAATCTATTAGTTGCCAATATTTGGATGCTATTTGCAGTAGCATCCTTGTGTTTCACCCAGCGATCGGCTCTCAATCGCAGCAGTGTTTTCCCCAGGCAGGCTCATTCCGCCTCAGCTTTGCCGCCCGCCTCGGCAGCAGCGGGGACAGCGCTGGTCCCCTGGCCTCCGTCGGGGTGAAGTTGGGCAGCGGGCAGGCCACCGCGAGAGCTACAGGCACGGAAACCGGGTGGCAGAAAGCACGATGCTGTACGCTTGCGCAGACTGCAAACTCCAAATCATCGTGGCGACTCCTGCTCCCAGTGAACTTCGATGAGAAAATTACCATTTTTAGGGCTTGCCAAATCCTTTGCATCACTCCTATGCAAGAAGTGTGAAAAACAGAGCAAGATGCTAAAAGTCATCTTAAATTATGTATCAGTTGTACATAATTGTTGCAAATTGCTATTGTGCTTTGACTTAGTCATATCCGTATGCAATTACAGCAATTGCTGTGCATGTTATCAAATGGCTCCAGAAATGTTGCTGGTAATACCTCACTCTTCTCAGGTAATAAAGGTGAGATGCTCAGGAAAACGTGAGTGTTCAGAAAGGAGCTGGCAGGAAAGATGGATACGCAGTGGTAATTCTGTAGGGTTTATAAGCATCACATCGAAGACGAGAATGAAAAGTGTATTTACACGTTGCAAGACTGAGCTGGCGTGAGAGTGATTTTGTCATTGACAGCAACTGCTTTGGGTGGAGTTCTTGGGAAACCTTTTCACCAGCGTGCCCCTTTTTTGCGAAGCACGTTAACGCTTGGCAGCACAGCGCCATGTGCAGCTTGCTAGAAATTTGTCTACGTGGAATCGCACGTGTAGGAAACGGTTTTGGAAAAGCCGGAGCGCGGAGCCACCCGCAGCCAAGCCCTGGCAGATTGCGTTTTGCTGGCGCTTAACCCTGTGAGACCGCAAGGCCAGACCCAGACACACAAAATGGCCACGCAACGCTGGAGCGGTGTCTTCCAACCGAGAGCAGCGTGTGGCACTCTGACTCGGTGCCCAAAGACAGCAAGGACCTTTCCGTGCTTCACGAGCGAAAAACAGCCGAAAGCCGCAAATATAAAGACATTTTATTACTCTTTTTTTTT